AAAGAAAGAAAGAAAGAAAGAAAGAAAGAAAGAAAGAAAGAAAGAAAAGAAAAGAAAAGAAATGCCCTTCTCTTCACCACCAGCTCCTAAGTCCCTATAAATAGTCTTTAGTGTTTGCTGGAAGACATGAAGATATCTGGGTGAGATGGCACACACCTGAAATCTCGGCACCTGAGATGAAGAGGCAGGAGGTTGGAGCTTTCAGGCTAGCCTGAACAGCATGAGTCTATCGTTTTAAAAAAAAAAAAAAGTTTTTTTTTCAGTTTTGTTTTGGGTTTTTGTTTGTTTTTTGTTGTTTTGTTTTTGTTTTAAGGAAAGAGGAAGGAGGCAGGAAGGAGGCAGGCCTCTCAGTAGGTGGGAAGATACAGCGTGGGGGCAGGAATGGTATCTTGCTGTGAATCTCAGGCTGCCAGGTTCGGACTTTCACACGCAAAGCTGTTGCTTCCCAATTTTCGATGTTATGGTCTCGAGAAAATGCACCTTCCTTAAGAGATCTCTTCACCAGAGCCAGTCCACTACTAGGCGGGTCAACAGCCAAGGGCACCTGTCAGTCAGACTCTGGACCAGAGCCAAGAGGAACTTCCGGGTCATGAGTTCAAGACCAGTGATGTCTGGTGTGGGTGCTGCAGGCCCACCTGAACTAAGAGCGTAGAGGCACTTCTGCCATCCTAGCCTTTTCCTTGGCATAGTCACAGCCGCTTTCTAAGCAGGAGAGTCTACTCCCAGGATTTTTTTCCCAGCCTCCTGGCAGCAAACCACTGTCCCTGCCCCTGTATAAGGTTCCTGAGCGCTCACCCACCCAGCACTAAGCAGCAGAGACTGGATGGCCAGGGAGATGAACCATCCCATCCGGGTAGAGAGCAGGGAAGGGCGGGTGGGTTTCGAGGCCAGCCTCGGCTACTGCACTCTCAACTCATGGCTTTGCTTGGGACCTCCGAGGCTTCCGGCCTGCCCTGCCGAAGCACAGAACCTTTGAGTGACTCCCTTTTCTTGTGTTCTGCAGGATCACACCTCAACACCCAAATCCTGAACTCCACACACTCTGTCATGCACACAGGAGGAGACCTGGACCAGAGGGCTACTGAAGGGTGGTCGCGCGTGTTCTAAGCTCCCCGGCATGACCTCTGTAAGGGGCTTCCTTTAGTCTCCTGTTCGCATGAACGACTGGCTGTAGACGCATGACCTACAGTCTCCAGTCCCGCCTCTAGTGACTATGGATCTCTGTGGGAATCAGGACAAAGGCGGCGAGAAGAAGGGAGAGGAGTGAGGGAGAGAGAACAAGCCCCAGAGAGCACACGGGTGCACACACGAATAAGGGCTCTACTGTGGCTGGGATGGTTGGTTGCTTTGTTTGCTTTTGGTTTTGAGTTTTGACTTCCACCTCATTTGTAAGAGTTTTCACATGATCTTCCCGGAACGGGGAAACTGGAAACTGGCGTGAAATCAGTTCAACACCATCGTCCCACATCCTCATGTGCCAGCCTCCCATGCTTGCGTGCGCACACACTCGAGCACACACACACACACACACACACACACACCTCACACACACACGCCACATGTCACATGCTCCCACCCGACTCCCACCCCCGTGGAGGGACTGCTCTTCCCAGAATGACACGACACAGGTGCACACTTGCCGATCTCCCTTTCACTCAGCCCACACTGGTTTTACTGTGACCTCTGAAGCTGTATGGATAAACTGGATATGTATATTTTTTTTTATGTTGTGTCTCAGTTTCAGTATCAATCATCTTCCAGCGGGAAATCGTCACCCTGAGAGCGCATTCGGGGTTCCTTGTGTTAGAAACTTAAGAACTGAGGCAAGGAGCCCCTAAGCTTTGCTGTAGGGCTCAGAGGGAGCCAGAGTCCCGCCTCCAAGTTCTCTGCGGGAGAAGGGCCTGTGGCTGTCGGAGGATTGCACCAGCATGTCCAATAGGGGAAGAGGGTTTCTAAATCGCCAAGCACTTCTATAATAGTCTGTGTTCAAAGTGTAAACTGTACAGTAATCAGCCTTGTGTATATGAAAACAATAAATACTATGCAAACCAATAGAGAAAAAAAAAAAAAAAAAAAAAAAAACGTTAGCAGTATGTACAAAAGCCCTAAACAGCTCAGCTCCCAAGGACTTCTCCAGGCCGTGGGAGGAGCTAATGGATGTCTTTCACCGAAAGAGGAAGGGAGAAGGGCTGTGAATGTACCTGCCCGTTCCTAGGTCAGACCACCCTGAGGTCTCCCAGAGCCAACTTGGTGCTTGAAGTGCAGGTGGCTGCAGGATGGAGGCGGTCCTGGCACAGACAGCTGGGCTCAGGCTGGGCAGCCAAGTGCCTGGCTCTGACCACGGGCCCAGCACAAGGAGAGCCGGAGCAGGATAGGCTGAGGAGAGACTCTCTTCTATCTAGACTCAGGGCAGGCCAGGAAGGGACCCCCTCGACTGGCTGGTCTTGCCTCGGAGCCCTCAGGGAAGAGCCTTAACGTCACACTAGAGTCTCCTGCAGAGGGAGGCCCGAATCAGCACAATCCGGCTCCGCCACGCCCGGGCGGCGCCCCCTAGGGCCAGGAGAGAGACTGGCAGGCTCTTCTCGCTCTCCAGGTGGACGGCGGTCACCTTTCCTCGCCTGCCGCTCTTCCGGGGGTGTCGCCAGGACACAATAAAAACCTTCCAAGTAGCACAGACGCCCCTCCATGCTCGTGCCCCCACGCCCTGGAGGCCCGCTTGGGGGTTCCAGCCCGCGCGCGCTCTAGCCCCGGGCGGTGCGCCGGTTGGGGGGGGAGGGGGACGGATGCTGTGGTCCACGGGCGCGGCTCGCTTTCCTCGGGGTGGGGGTGGGGGCGGCCCCGGGAGGGCTGGACGGGCGAGGACCGGCGCGGGGTCGCCCCGCCTCGCCCCGCACCCTCCGCTCCAGGACGTGGCCCCACGTAGCGGCTCTTAGCGCCCCGCGCGGCCCGGCTCCGCTTTGGCACCCTCCGCTCAGTCTGGCTTGGCTGCTTGGCACGCCGCCCCCTCGCCCTCCGGCGGCATGGCTGCGCGCTCCCGTTGCTAGTAGGAGCTGTTTAGGAGGAGTTTGGGGTCCCCACTTGATGCCTAGAGAATGCTGCAGTCTGCACCTTAGACGCTTTTTAGAAGTTTTGAAATGACCTTGATTTTTTTAATTGTTATGAAAAAAAAAAAAAAAGAACTATGTCTCGGCTCTCTCACATGCTCTGTTACTGAGAGAGACCACCCCACCCTACTCTGATGTATAGACCATTCTCCCTACACCAGCTAAAACAAATGTCAAATTAATAAAGAAATTGACCATGGCACAGGGCTCCATCTCTCCTTCTTCGCTTATCTTTGGGAGTTTGGGGTGCTGGGCAGGAGGGTAGCCCTGGTTTGGGGTGTGATGGGGTCTGCCCCTGAGAAATCTGTCCCCAACTCCCAGAACCTGGAAAGCCCCTTAATCAATACCACCCTCCCTGCAAGAACCCTGAAAGTGCGGACAACCCTGTTATCAGGAGACAACAAGGTGGGGGAGGAGCTGGACACTACAAACCAGAGGGCCTGTCCAGGCCGCCAGGTGACATTCACCACCGGGAGCTGCCGGAGCCTGTCCTTGCAGACAGAGGAAGTGATCTCTGTTCTGAACTAGTTTCCAACTCTTTATGCAAAGCTGAGCTCCACACTGGTGGGGTCTCCGCCTTTATCACACCGGGAACAGGGTAAACAGTGTCTGAAGTCCCCTGCACTTTGTCACTGAGGTTACCACACAACACCACCCCCTTGTCAGCTTTAGCGTTAAATAAGAGTCAAATCACTTGCAGCAAATGTTCTTCCTAACTTCTCCTTATTGTAAAGTGACCAAAGCTTTGTCCCCCAAATCGCTGGTGTTCCCCAGCCCCGCCCAAGCCCAAGCATCTCAGGCACTGAGAGCCCACCAACACCCGCCCTCCATTTGTACTCCCCCAGAGGGTTTCTGAAACACTTGCAGAACCACAGTTGCCTTGGTTGGGTGGCTTGTCTGGGAATCTGGACTAGCTGACCCATGCATGGCCTGATAGCAAACCTATGAACTTTTTCTCGGGGGTGGGTGTGTAAATCCAGATAGCCAAAGATGAACAGAGATATGCGATGAGAGCAGCTATTCACCAAAAGTTGATAAAACGGGAAAGAGAAGGTCTGTCTCAAAGAGTTGCTGAGAGGTGAAATGGGTTGAAGGCCTGCTGTAAAGAGGTAATTAAAGGAAAAGGACTAGAACGCCTTCCTGCTGATGATGCAGTGGCTGAAATCACTCCAAAAGGCAGAGACTTGGTTACTGGCAGCTTAGGAAGGAGTTCCTGTGGATAATAACATTCCTTGCTCGGGGTGGCAGTCTTCAAGGGTGAATTAGAATGTGTTGCTCTGTGGATTTGGTTCTGAAAGTAAAACTTGTAAGTTACAAGTTGATTTCCCTCAAATACAGATCTTTTTAATAAGATGGGGAAAGGGAACAAAACAAAAAACAAAAACACCAACTTTTTCTCAGGATGAAGAGATGGGATGGAGAAAAACCTGGGTTTGGTTCCTAGGACCGAGTTGAGGCTCTCACAAGTGCCTGTAACTGTGACTCCAGCCCCAGGGGATCCAACATCCTTCTCTGAACACTTTGGATGGACACACACACACACATACACACTCACACACAGTCTTAAAAAATAAAAAGAACTTTTCATATTTCTTTTTTATCCAAACTTGTAGAAAGATCATCTCACCCCTTGTAACATCCTTTCTAATCCCTCACCTAAACCACCTATGCCAGAGAGACTATTGCTTACATCACAAACTCTCCATGGCAAGGTAGCCTTCCGCACCTCAGCCCTCCATCTCAAAGAAAGCTAACAAAGAAGAGCCTCTTGTCTCTCACCTGTGAAAACACAGACCCCACAAACATAAGAAACTGTGTTCCCAAAGCCCAAGTGGCCTGGTCAGGAAGAACTCATCTAGACAGCAATCACCTCATTCCAGTCATTTCACACACTTGGAGAGTAACTTCAGGAAAGAATACTGAATTTAGAGAGCAGCCTGCAGGTGAGCCCTGATTCCTCTGAGGGACAGTTTCCCTGTTGTCAAGTAAGAGATTGCACACACACACACACACACAAGAACCAGCAGATTGCAAAAATTCATCAGAAACAAAACACCCAGGGCTCTTAGATTCAGTTAACTCCCAAGCCTCAACCCGACTGCCCTGCTTAGGTCTCTGCCTCGGGATCATAGGAGAGCACCCACTCCACCCATCCTGACCCCAGGCAGCTGGAATACTGAAGAGACCAAGAAAGGCTGGCAAAGGCAGGAACGGTTCCACAGGCTCCCCTCTTCAGCCTCAGTGGGCTACCCCCTCACACCCACACCCCTGCAACTCTGAGAGCTGCTGCACAGCCCTCCCCTAGGCCATTCTGCAAGATTTTCCCACCCCAGGTTCTCAAGTCCGAGAGATCTGCATGATCCATCTCATCCCCCCCACCCCTGCCACTTACCCTGTGTGGAGGAGGAAGAGTAAGCAGCTCTATCTCCCCTCAGAGCTTCACATCGATTCATACAGGGACAGCTTGGGACGGTGACCTCTGAGCCAGACCTTTTCTTCTCCTTCAAAGGGGCAAAGGAAGCCTTCCACAAGAGCCTCCAGGCACCCACTAGGTACTGGACTTGGGTAAGCAAGCCTCTGAGGATACACAGGAGGTCTAGAGCTAATTCTTTCACACACGCACATGCTCACGAACACACACGAACACACACACACACACACACACACACACACACACACACACACACGGACTGGCTGATTTACAGTCAATCTTTCAAAGTGCAATTTGTCTAGGAGAAGCCAATGTGAGGCCCATGCGGGCTCCGACCAATGGCGGCACAGCGCTCTCAGCTCAGCCAGTCTCGGGTCTGTATTCTAATGGGCCATATCTTTATCAAGGAAATGTCCCTTCCCTGAACTTAAAACTTCTGATGGAGGGCCCCCAGACTCAGAGGCAGAGAAACCGGGTGCTCTGAGTTTGGGGAGCACCCCTCCTTAGGCCCAGCTGGCAGAGAAGGAAAGCGGAAGGTCTCCCACCTCCTCTGGACACCTGACTTTCCAGAGGGCTGACGTAGGTGCCCCATCCCTGAGGAAGGGCCGGGCCAGAGGGCAGTCGGAGGCTTGCGGTGGGATGGGGGGCTCTGATTCTCCAAGCCTACCATGAGATTCTGGGCCATCATCTGAGGTGCTGGCCTCGAAGGGGCTGCCCGCCCTCCTGCTCGCTGACCTGGAGACCATGGAGTCCAACCTGCAGGGGACGTTCCTTCTGAACAACACACAGCTGGCCCAGTTCTCGGAAATGAAGGCTCCCATGTGCCAGTACTCGGTGCAGAACTCCTTCTACAAGCTGAGCCCCCCAGGACTTGGTCCCCAGCTGGCAGCTGGGACACCCCATGGGATCACGGACATCCTGAGCAGGCCGGTAGCCACTCCGAACAGCAGCCTCCTGTCTGGCTACCCCCACGTGACAGGCTTCGGGGGACTCAGCTCCCAGGGGGTCTACTACGGCCCCCAGGTGGGGAGTTTTTCCAAGGCTGGGAACGAGTACCCCACCCGGACCCGGAACTGCTGGGCGGACACAGGCCAGGACTGGCGTGGCAGCGCCCGGCCGTGCAGCAACAGTGAGTACAGGGCCTTCAGCCACCCCCAACCCAGCCTGTCCCGGGGAGGAGGCAGGGTGGGGGGCTTCTGGAGGCTGGGCTGCACTCTGTAGGGCCGCCATTAAACACAGCCCGGCCTGGTCCCTCTCCTCAGCTCACAGCAGATCTGAACCCCACCCTCTCCCACACTCGTACCCAACTTCCACCTGACACAGGTGTCTGAACCCCCTGCCACTTCGGTTGCCCTTCAGGGGACCTTGGGGGTTCCAGGTCCCACGAACGCAGCCCGCCCTGTGGAGGGTCCTGCTGGCAGCCCAGTTTGCTTCTGCCCAGAGTAAAACAGGCCCTTTGCAAAAAGCAGGCCAATGCTCCCCAGGTGGAAGACACTTACAGTGTTCAGTATAGTATCCCAAAGAGCCCAGTTTCACGTGGCACTGTTCCAAGACCCACTGAGGTCCCATCCAGAAGCCAGGACCTGTCTCCCACCTTCCTTGTTCTGGGTTCATGTCGGCCATGGCAGAAACAGCAGCCTGGCCTTCAGCAACAACAGAGCTAAGTTGACCTTGGCCCTGACTGCTGGGGGGAGCTGCTTACCCCACCCGTCCCTGAGAACTGGGGGTGGGCATTAGGCCAGTCAGGGACCGGGAAGTGCAAGGGGCATGTGAGAGTGTCCACTAAAGCCCTGGGTGGGGCATACATGTGGCGGAGACAGAGGCAAAGCCTCCTCCACTTCTGTGGCTCCCACTGCAGAAGGGATTTGGAACCAATGGTGGAAAGCCCCGGAACTCTGGCCCCCTTGTCCTCTGTGTGTCGTGCCTGAATGTCAGTCCCCTCCCTCAGATCTCATCTCTTGGGACCTATTGTGCAGCCTAGTTCGGGGGGGGGGGGTACCATAAGCTCAAGCTGTTTCTCCCGCACTCCCCGATCCTGTCCCTAGTTCTCCAGTCTTGAGTGCATGCACACACCAGGAAAGAGCCAAGAAAGCTTGTGGCCGGTTTAACACAGGAGGAGAGAGAACTGAAGAGGGGCCTCTTTTAGGATACTGGTTCTCAACCTGTGGGTCAGGACCCCTCTGAGGGGGGCGAAGGATCCTTTTGTATGGATTGCATATCAGGTGTCCTGCATATTAGATACTTACAATTCATAACAGTAGCAAAATTACACTTATGAAGTAGCAACAAAATAATGTTCTGGTTGGGGGTCGCCAGGACATGAGGAACTTTTATTAAAGGGTTGCAGCTTTGGGAAGGCTGAGAGCCACCATCTTCGGAGGTCCTTTTCCTCTCCTGTACTGAAGTCACTGGCTTAGAACAGGACACAAGTTGCTGGACTACACTAAGACCAAGCAGATGGGCGCTCTGCCTGCTTTGAGCTCCAAGCTCCTTCCTGTCAGTCATGACTGAGTTTGGGGTCTCCAGCCTCTCCAGATGACTGTGTCACTCCAACACCAGACTGTACAGTAGATTCTAAGAGGTCTGAGGGAGGGTGGGCTTCCCGGCTGGCTGCCAGGCAACGCAGCCCATGGGGGACTAGTCTCTTGGAGTCGGAAGCTTTTCCTCTGTGCTTCTCCACAGACCAGGGAGGCTGGGGTCTCAGAGAAAGGAAGTGGGGAGGAATTCAGGGGCCCTGGGGGTCTGATTGCAGGTGAAAGGTACCCACGC